GCAAACTTTCTGTACATTATAATTTGCTCACTTGAATAAACCATTAATAGAAAATTACTAGTATATTTTTATTCACAACATTTCATGTTACTATTTTTGTCATTACATTAAATATTTTGTTTTCATTTCCAAAACAAAATGTGTGATTCCTGATACATCTTCGCTAGCCAAGGTTCGTTTATTCTGTCATCGGTTCAACTTTACATCAAACACTGAGCATAATTATCTAAAATGGAAGTAAGTCGCAATGATTAGAATACGGTAAACAGCAATAGTAAACAATGCAAACTGATTTTTAATTATAAAACGGTCACCGGCCCACAAATATTTCCTGATCAATTGCGATGTGTTTCCATTAAAAAATATTTTATTCCAGTTCAAATCAGCTCAATTACTTTAATAACGTGTTATTGCATAATGTACAAAATGCTGGTACATTTTGATGAATATTTACAGCTACTGCTTCAATACCGTAGACGATTTCGGCACGATCGTCAACTAAACATCACCCGTCTCAAGGGCTGGACTGGAAAAAGATACCGGTGTTCGTTCGAATCGGTGGAAAAAAAATCGTCACTTTCAGAATAACTACACAAAATAACGACCTAAACTGGAACCATTCGAGCCACAATATAAACATAGACATAAAAGATGACTTTTGTTGCCTTTGACAATGATAAACTTACCGAAAAGCCGTAATTTTCCCGATCATTTTCGTCGCTAACGTCGTTATAATCCGCCATTTTCGGTGACGTCGTCAGGTGCGCTATAGAAGGAGGTCTGTGATTCGTTGACTAAAATCGTCTATAGTACGTCTCGTTGAAATCTCGTTACATGGGCAGAGGCTCAGATGTATGTAGGGTGGAATTAAGAAGATCACGAATCGTAAAGTCTATGTCAGGTATACTAAAATATTTCTTGATATTCCGCATACGCGGTTTTTGATATTATTATACATCTGTCACCGTAATGCCATGAGTTACAGCGGGCCGTAATTTTGCGGTATTTTATGGGTATTTTCATGTTATCATATTAAGAAATGCGAATTCCAAATATGGAATGATACTAATACTAATATAAAACAACACAATATAATACAATATAAAACAACCGGACTCCACACAAAGTTCGCAGATTCTCTGTTCTAAACTTTTCGGATTTCGGCATTTCTATGATGTATCATTGGGACCGTATAATAATAAGGTTTTTACGCGGATACCGGAAAGTATGCACGAAGACAGTATAGTGTGAGTATCGATCGACGCGCAGCAGTGGTCGATTTGACTACGCGCTGCATGAGTGCATACTTTTCGGTATCCTCGTAATAACCTCTTAGTATTTTGTACATCCCTGCTAAACAAATAAAACTATCAAATCAGTGAACTTTTTATCAAACTGTTTCATGTTCGTACATAAAGAGTGTGGGATTAATTTTTCTTCACATTGGTACTGGTGTTCTTACAATCCAAACGTCGGATGTATTGACCCACGTCGTGCTATCGTACTCAGTTAGTAAAGAAATTCCAGTGGGAACGTATGCATTAAGTTACTCTCAACTGTATTCATCAAACAGTTTATTTAGAAAAAAACAGCATCCAGCCGGCCAGCATTATATTGACCCTAAGCCAATGTAAATTAACATTACAGCTTCAACTGTAGCCAACCATTATTCAGGAGCGATCTTGCCGAATTCACCTGTTGGCTATGAACATGTGTTTTCAAATTATATTCACTAAATAGCTCAACTTATTTCATTCCAAGCGTGGTTCGTGGCCACCCTAGCTCAACCTAACCAATGTGTGCATTAGGCCTTACGATAGTTGGTCGACCTCAACCATCTTGTGGTCATGAAGCATCCATCTTCGACAGGCAGTATACATTATTACACCCACATCGGACAAGTTGAGAGGCACGACTGATGAACATAGTGTACCAAAAAGCCGTTCAGTTCATTGTAGAGGTGTTTCTGTCATCAATCAAAGGCAATGTGGTCTTTTTTGAAAGCGACAATATCACTGACTGGTTGAAAAAAGCATTTTTTCTCATTCTAGCGTCGTGCGCGTGATTCATTACAGCGAGCGCAAGATATTTACATACACCTAACTCGCGCACCCGCTAGGTAATTACCGAGGGACTTTGCAACATCCCCAGACACTTTGCTAGACACCCCAACGACCGTTGTAGACGAAATAAAGTTACATACACTCTCACGTGACAGTTAATCAAAACACCGGACGCGGTATGCCTTTGATGTGTGGGCACGAGGAACGAGGGGTAGTTTGGATATTCCATTGCTTTGTAGGTATAACAATCTGTGTAACACTTGACATTCAATCAAAACAACGGT